AGCGGCCATGTCTACACCGGTACTTGGGCCCCCATTGGTCATCTAAATCCCTCCCCTCAGATACGGAGGGCGACCACTCCTCGCAGAAGAAGAAACCTCTTTCTTGCCCTTCTTCTTGGGTCGTTCCAAGAGTTTACCCGAAGGGGAGAAGTAAGGCCCCTCCTCCGACGAAGAAGAGATAGAAAAAGCAGGGTTTTCACCCCCCTCCCCGGAAGGCGCTTTTTGGCCAAAAGGGTCAGGGGAATGGGCTGACATTATCGAATTGAAGAATAAGATGGAGGTAATAAAAGATGGGGAAGAGAAGTAATACCTTGGCTAGAGAGAAAGAGTGGACTTGAGGGAGGAAAGCTCTGTCTCAGAAAATGGAATCACCAGAAATCAAGCAGGAGGAGAGACGTGTAGGCAAAAAGAAAAAACTTTTACAAGTTGGGTTAATGAGGTATTTATAGGGAAAGAGATAAGAGGAAATTAGATCTCAACCACTCATTCGGACGAACGAGATCAAAAGCAGGCCGCCTCGAATTCGGCGCGGAAAGCACCGATTGAAATTCCCTCATTATGACCTAGGGAACTCGAATCGACTGCATTGATTGATAGGACAGCAGAAGGCGGTAGAGCACGCTTCCCCATCAAAGATTAAACGCTAAAAACGAACTGTTACCTCGCACTCCATACTCCATATTCATCGAACGGGACAAAACAGAAGTTTTATCTCGCCCGATAATTAAGGAGTAGGGGGGAGTAGTTGATACGGGCCATTCTGGAAAGATCCAATACGAATTAGGCCCACGACAAAAGGCCCATGGCAATTCAGCCCAATGATATAAAAAGACCATTAGGTCGTACGACCTCAACGACGAACTGCGGAACTTCGGCTCGCAGGCCCAGTATCGGCTCGTGGTAAATCGAGCCCAGGGTTGTAAAAGGCCCAATACACACAATGGCTTGAGGGGGGAAAAACCCTAAAAAGGAAACCTTGGAGGCCAAGGTTTCCTCATTTATAAATAGGGAATGATATTGCGTTTTTCCACACAGATAATATACATTTTTTCACATACTTTTACGTACTTTCTAAAAACTCGCTTTGAAATCATACTGACTTGATCGTCGGAGCTTTCCCGCCGGGAACACCTCCCGGCGTTGCAGGTCTTTTTTCTACCGGAATCCGACAGAGAGCTTAGAGGACGCGAGGAAGAGCCCCACGGACCAAATCACACACTCATATTCGGAATCGAAAGGGGATCAAGAAGACGACGGCTAGTACGTCTATTCCAACAAGTGATGAATGGAATGTCCGCATTGCCGATAAACTTGCCTTTCACGCTCTTCAACAAAGGCGTGCGTGCAAGGTCGGAGGTTAGAGACATTGTAATGGAACTCATACGAGAAAAGAGGCAAGAAATGGAGAAACGAAAAACCCTAGATAATAATCACCATCAATATCAAGATCTCATCACTAAATTTGTAAGCATGAAAAACGAGGAGGATAGTACATCATCATCACCTATGTTGTCCGACGACGAGATAGTGGATAACTGCATCGTTGCAATGGTTGCCGGGCACGACACATCTTCGGTCCTCCTTACTTTCTTGGGTCAAACTCCTGTCTGAAAATCCGCACATTTACCAAAATGTCCTTAATGGTCGGGTGGTTAACACTAAACTGTTCCAAGACTTTGAGTAACTTGCAATCGGCTAATTATATTGTTTTTTTTCCATGTAGAACAAGAAGAGATTGCAAAGGGGAAGAGTGGGACCCACGACGAGCCTCTCACGTGGGATGATCTGTCGAAGATGAAGTACACATGGAAGGTGGCAACAGAGGCATTGAGGATGTATCCACCGGTATTTTGTGCCTTCAAGAAGGTTCTTCAAGATTTCGAACTCGGAGGATATATCATTCCCAAGGGATGGCAGGTGATTTATTTGATCGATAAAATTGTAATTTATTCACTGATAAATAAATTAACCAAACAAGATTGATATCTAAATCTTGTTTTTCGAGCAGATTGTTTGGGCATCATTCATGACGCATATGGATGAATCCATATATCCGGATCCAACAACTTTCAACCCGACCCGGTTTGACAACAAACAAGGAGCGACACCGCCTTTTAGCTACATAGCGTTTGGGGGCGGGCCAAGACTGTGCCCTGGATACGAGTTGGCAAGAATCGAAACCCTAACCATGGTTCATTACATGGTTACTCGGTTTCAGTGGAAGCTCTCTTTAAAGGAGAATCTCTTCGGGAGATTCCCCATGCCAATTTTCCATCATGGGTTGCCTATACAAGTCAAGATCAAGAAGCCTCTTCATGAATCATGATGATGATACAACGTAAACTCCGTCGATTACTACTTGTATAAAGTGTTGTTTTGATTTGGCATTTCCAATAAGACGAATAAGAAACTCGTGATTTTCTGCGAAAATCGATTTATATATATGACACAACACTGAATAAAAATACATGGAATGATGGAAATTAAAGAAAGTTTTTGCGAAACGTTTGATCCCAGAATCCATAAATAAAATCGGGATATTTTTTTTTCTGCGATGACTGAATTTCATATCTCCTAGTCCAGTAATTTCAAAAAAGCTGGAGCCGTGAGAAATACTCTAGAATTTGATCGCCACCACCGATTAAATATACATTGCGTGTAATTGGTGGTGGTGGTGGTTGTGGGCTTTTCCGGTGACTAGCGGATGGGGTGGTACTGGGCAGACACTCTTCTAGGCGGCAGCTTCCGCAAAATGTACAAGACGAGAGCTGAAGGAAGAATCTCGACCAGCTGTTTTATTTCAAATTAAAATATATATTAGAACTCGGGCGGATATGTAATAACTAACAAGTAACACAAAACCGACACATGCTTAAAGACAGAGATGTTGATGATTACCGTGTAGTAGATGAAGTTCAAAACCGGGTGGTCAATTACGTACAGTGATGCATCTGAATCAAAAGCTGACAGCCCGACCTGTAGTAAAATGACGATTATTACGCATGGAATGGAACGACGCAAGTTAATACACTATTGTAAGAAAATTAAAATAGCGAAGAAAAATAAAATAAAATCCAAGGACAATTTTAATTAAAACCTTACCACGAAGCACCTTATAAGAAAACAGGTGAAGCATATAGCTGTCACAGATCCAACCTGTGAACGAAATCTCGTTAGTCGATATGGATAAATTTAGGAAACAAATAAAACGATAAATCGGAGAAAACCTCGTGAAGTTTCTTTCTCCTCCCTTTAGATTCAATGGGGAAGCGTCTCAGCATGAAAAACAATCTGGACGAAAGAAGAAAGAAAATAAAATTAATATTGCTTTAATTTATTATAATTGTATTATTAATATTGCTCGAAATGATCAAATGCTTACCTTCCTCCATATAGCAAAAACCCTAATGCAGCTACGAAGGATACAACTGCGGAGAAAAAAAAAATAACGAAGGCTGAATTCTTTGAGTGAAGGTAAATTTAAAATGAATACAAAGTGGAGAGATATTTACCTGCAATAAATATCTTTCCGACAAATTCAGCAACACTGTTATCGTTTACCCAGAGGTACACCCAGATGCAGACCTAATGTGAACACATCTTTTCTCGTTAAATTTAACCAACAAAAAAAACGCGCCACTAATATTTAGATAACGATCCTACACAACTTTTTACAGGAAGAAATGAGTACTTATATATGGGCCAAAAGAAATACAACTCAAAAGGTATATATGAATATAAGGAAATATATTAGAAACGAACCTGTATGAAGTAAACTACAGCATTGACAGCAATGTAGAATATTCTCAGTTTATCGGTCGGCAAACTTCTAGCCTGATCAACGAATAGAATGAAAACTCAGTGATTCGTTATATGAAATAGACGTTTGTTGGAAATGACAGCTGTTACATTTCGGTTAGACGATTATTTTCTTTTTAAATATCTGATTATACCTGGTGATATATTTCGGCCCAGAAAAGGACAAGAAGTGTGTACGTAGAAAAGAACAGCAGGCCCGGAAGATCCAGAAGTACCAACGTCAGGGCCTGGTTATTGAAAGATAAAGAATATAGTTTAAATAATAATTAAAAAAAAAAACACGGGAAAACATAATTTCTAAATTAAGTCTCTTTCCGCTTATATACACAACTCAAAGAGGCTTCTTAGAACAAATATTCTTCAACATCAAGATTCGTGCAAGCCCAAACCTACTAGAGCGTACGAGAAAAAAGCGGCAAGGGAAATAAAGAACAAAGAGACAAAGAGTGAATTTAGGCCTCGTTTGGTTGCCAATATAGGATTAGCCAAGATAAAGATGAAATAATCTAATCAAAACCCAAAATGATCCCTAAAAGGCATGATAACATAATATTTTTCGGGTCGACCCGGGAAGTTATTGGGTTTAGTAGTTTACGAAACATCAAACAAAGTCCTATTATTTAGTTAATCATGGCTAATCTCCCCAACCAAACGAGGCCTTAATCTATTAATTAGAATACACAGTTGGCAAGGTGACTCTTACCTTAGGATGGAAGAGAAATACGTGCATATGAAATCCAAACAAAACGGCACGCACTGCAATTGAGTAGCTTAACGATTAATGCAATGGATGGAAATTAGAAATATAAATATTTAATAGTCAAGAAGTTCTTATAGGAACCTCCATTCACAACGAAGTTCATCAGGTGGAAGACTTTCTGAGTAGTCCATCCGTACTCGGGCACCCTCAGTTCAATACGTATCAATTGAATCTGCAGGAAATAAACAAGTTCTCAAAAAACTGTTCGATTCGATGATGTAATAACATCATCAAAAAACGGAGTTAAAACACGAGACGCCGAGTTTAATTATCTAATTGAAAAAAAAAAACACACACACATACAGCTGAATATCTAATTCACAGAGAGCATATCTCTAATCAAAGTTTCCAGTTTATGATTCTATTGTTAAGAATATTCACATATATAAATCAGTAATAACCAATTCACTAACTCACTGAGTCAATAAATTAAATTAATTAAATAATAATAATAATAATAAATCAGTTGCCCAGCTCATGATAAGCAGAATACCCAGAGATGCATACTAAAATCAAATCGAGAGAACAATTAAAAATCGAAAGGTGTTTGAATAATCGAACTCACAAGGGCGACGGAGGAAACGAGGGCGTAAACGGCGCAGAGAGAGAAGAATATTCCGTCTTGCCATTTAACGGAGTCGTTAACCTCGTCCCACCAGCCGGCCGACAGTACTCCGGCTCCTCCGTCAGTCGCCGGAAAGCCGAATAAAATTCTCGCCATCGCAGCTCAGCTAGGTATAGCTAATCCCTCCCCCCTCTCCTTTTTCCCCTTTCTTCGTTAATTATTAAAAAAAAAAAAAAGGAAAAAATACAAAAAACTGATTAGCTGTTGAATACCACTTAATACAGTATTATTAATTAGCAATCAGAGCAGGAGATCAAATCGAAGATGAGAGAGGGGAGAGCAAAACCTGCACACAGAAAAACGTGCAGGATTTTTACATTAAACAAACGTAGAGAGAGAAAGAAGAGAGAGGAGAGAGAGAGAGAGAGAGAGAGGAGTCTTAGGTCGTACTGAGGTCGGAGGAGATAGAATAGTTTGAAGGGCTTTTTCGTAATTTTACCGGAACAGATAGAATAGTTTGAAGGGCTTTTCTGTAATTCTTGTGGAACAGATAGAATAGTTTGAAGGGCTTTTCTGTAATTTCTCTAGAATTTGTCATTGTCGAAATATTTTGGTTTATGCTTTTTATTATTCAACTTTGTCTGGCCGGAGCCTTTTTTTGTCTGAGAATTAAATAATTGAGGGTAAAATATTAAAATGGCATTTGTTAATAAATAATTATTATGTTGTATTTTTATATTGTAAAATAAATCTGGTATTATATTTCAGTCCCATATTCGAGAAGTCGTAGACGAGAATAAAAAATTAGGCTTTTTTATATTTTTAATATGAAATCTATAAAATAATATAATATTTAATTACTTAAGTAATTAGGCAACATATAAAGTAGATTGTTGGGCATATTTACAAATTACGTTGATATAAATTAATTAGATCGAATTTTCAAGTCTGAAAAGAAGGCCCAAAAATTACTAATAAATGGTTCTAAAAAAATAAAATAAAAGATACATGAGGACTATAAGCATTTGGAGGCCCTTAAAAATGTCATTTTTTAGGCCCGATGGGTAATAACTTTTGAGCCTTACTATTGGGCTTATATGTTTGTTAATATCATATATATATATACGTTATTGTACAAATGAATATCATCAAGGGATCCGTGGCGCAATGGTAGCGCGTCTGACTCCAGATCAGAAGGTTGCGTGTTCGATTCACGTCGGGTTCAATACCCCCGATCAAATTCCCTTATTCTCTTTTAATTTTTAATTTTTTTTTTTATTTCCAGCTGTTTCCTCTAACACTAATTTCTAGCATTTTTGAATTATTTTTATGTTTTATTTCCTCACGTTCAAACCTTCTTTTTTTCTCCTCCTCTGTACACTATCTTTCTCGTCTGTAAACCCTAATTCCCAAATCCAAACCCTAATTCACACTCCCGTCGCAGTACCGCCGAACAACAATGGCGTTCCGCAGCAAAATCCGACTCCTGACACTCCAACGCAATCGCCCATTTTCCTCTTCAATCCTGAGCCCGGACTCCAAAACCCCACTCAGCAGCAAAGAGAAGTCACGCGCCGCCCTCTCCCTCCTCCGATTCGAAAAGAATCCGGAACGAATCCTCGATATCTGCCGAGCCGCTTCCCTCACCCCCGACTCACATCTGGACCGTGTCGCCTACTCCATGGCCATGTCCAAGCTCAAAGAATCCAACTACTACGAGGGCATTCGTGGCTTCATCAAAGATTCCCTGAACCGCCCGGATTTTAGGTCTGAGCGCTCTGTTTCTCATTTGATCGTTCTCTACGGCCAGGCGGGTCTTGTCAAGGACGCCATCAACCTGTTCGACGAAATGCCCAAGTTGGGTATTCAGACCAGCGTCAAAGCTCTGAACTCGCTGCTGTTCTCCTGCGCTATAGCTGGTGAATACGGCGAAATGAAGAGGGTTTTTTCGGATTTCCCGAGAAAGTACGGTTTGGAGCCGGATTTGGACACTTACAACACTGTGTTGAAGGGCTTGTCTGAATCAGGTAGTGCGAACTCAGCCCACTCCATACTAGCCGAGATGGAGAGGAAGGGTATAAAGCCTAACGCAGCGACTTTTTCTGTTGTGATTGCTGGTTTCTACAAGGAGGAAAAAATCGGTGATGTGGAGAAGATGATTGGTCTGATGAAGAAACACGGAGTCCAGAGAGGGATCGGTGTTTACAACGTTATGATGCAGAGCTTGTGTAAGCTGAAAAGGTCAAATGAGGCGAAGGCGTTGTTGGATGAGATTCTGTCGAAAAAAATGAAGCCCAACTGTGTAACGTACGGCCATTTGATTTACGGGTTCTGTAAAGAAGGAAAATTGGATGTGGCCAAGAGTTTGTTCGAGGAGATGGTTAATCGGAAGTTGAAGCCAGAGGCGGAGTGTTATTTTACGATGGTTTACTATTTATGTCAAGGGCATGAGTTTGATGTTGCCTTAACCATATGTAAGGATTCTATGTCGAAGGGTTGGATTCCGAACATAACAACAATGAAGTCTCTTGTGAATGGACTGGTTAGTGTTGAGAAAGTTGACGAGGCGAAGGAAATTATCGCAGTGATGAAGGAGAAGTTCTCTAGGAATGCCGATAAATGGATCGAGATTGAGGAGGGATTAGGTAAAGTAGTTGAGAGTACCTAACCATGGTATTACTGATTTATCTTTTGTTACGCAGTTTCGTGTCTGTAATAAGACCGGCCATGTCAGCAAGAATGATGCTCCCGATGAATTTGTTTTTTTTTTTTTTGCTGAATTTGTTTCTTTAGTTTGATGCTCCTTAATGTTGGTTTTGGAAAGTTGATAGTTTGTTGTCGTGCGTTTTCATTTGCATTTGGAGTAATTCATAAAGATCGATCAATCTCCTATAATTTTGTCGGTGCGTTTTGTTTCTGATTTGCGTACTTTGGTTGAATAGTTTGAGGTTGTACTTCTTATTCTTCAAAGATTTTGTCATCCTAACCACAGTTATCCTCTATCTTTCCAGTTCAGTGATGAAGTATTGTATTTTTTTGCCTTTGTGCAGTAAAATTTAAAAAAATATCTGCAAGACTTGTCCGAGTTGGAAAAATTCAAACTTGCCCAGAGCAGAGAAGCTGATTAATTGCTATTTGTAAGATAATTAAACATCAGGGATCCGTGGCGCAATGGTAGCGCGTCTGACTCCAGATCAGAAGGTTGCGTGTTCGATTCACGTCGGGTTCAAAACTCCCGATCTAAAATTCCCTATTCTGTTTTTTTAATTTTTAATTTTCGTGCTATTTTCTGTAAAAGAAAATTAGCGAAATTAAAATTACTTTCCACTTTTCTATTTCTTTTTTTCGTCTGTAAACCAAAATCCCCAAATCCAAATCCAAAACCCTAATTCACTGTCTGGCAGAACCACCGAACAACAATGGCGTTCCGCAGCAAGCTCCGATTACTTACACTCCAACGCAACCGCCCATTTTCCTCTTCAATTCTGAACCCGGACTCCAAAACCCCACCACTCAGCAGGAAAGAGAAATCTCGAGCCGCGCTCTCTGCGCTCTCCCTCCTCCGGTTAGAAACGAATCCGGAACGAATCGTCGATATCTGCCGAGCCACCTCACTCACCCACGGCACGCACCTGTATCGTGACGCCTACTCCGTCGCCATTTCCAAGCTCAAAAAATCCAACAACTACGGCGGCATTCGTACCATCATCAAAAACTCCTTATCCCGTACAGATTGCAGATCTGAGCTCTCCGTTTCTCATTTGATCGTTCTCTACGGCCAGGCGGGTCTTATCAAGGACGCTCTCCAACTGTTCGACGAAATGCCAAGCTTAGGCATTCAGATCGGTGTGAAAGCTTTGAACTCGCTGCTGTTCTCCTGCATTATAGCTGGAGAATACAGCGAAATGAAGAGGGTTTTTTCGGATTTTCCGGGAAAGTACGGTTTGGAGCCGAATGTGGACACTTACAACACTGTGTTGAAGGGCTTGTGTGAATCGGGTAGTGCGGATTCGGCCCACTCTATACTGGCGGAGATGGAGAGCAAAGGTATAAATCCCGACGCGAAGACGTTTTCTGTTGCGATTGCTGGTTTCTACAAGGAGGAGAAATTCGACGATGTCGAAAAAATGATTGTTTCGATGAAGAAATACGGAGTGGAAAAAGGGATCGGTATTTACAACGTTATGATGCAGAGCTTGTGTAAGCTGAAAAGGTCGAATGAGGCGAAGGCGTTATTGGACGAGATTCTGTTGAAAAATATGACGCCGAACTCTGTGACGTACGGCCATTTGATTCACGGGTTTTGTAAAGAAGGAAAATTGGATGTGGCCAAGAGTTTGTTCGAGGAGATGATTAGTAGAGAATTGAAGCCACAGGCCGAGTGTTATTTTACGATGGTTTATTATTTATGTAAAGGGAATGATTTTGAGGTTGCCTTAACCATATGTAAGGAATCTATGTCGAAGGGTTGGATTCCGAATATGACGACAATGAGGTGTCTTGTGAGTGGACTGATTAGTGTTGAGAAAGTCGACGAGGCGAAGGAAATTATTGCAGTGATGAAGGACAAGTTCTCTAGGAATGTCGATCCGTGGATTGAGATTGAGGAAGGATTACCTAAGTAGTCGAGTGCTGATTTATCTTTTGTTTATATCGTATCGTGTTTGTAGTAACTCTGCGATGAAGAGTTCGGCGTTGGTTGGACTTTTGTTCTTGAAATGAAGCTGTGTTAATAAACATGTCATGTATGCATGATCTTTTTAATCTTTATTATATATATATATATATATATATATATATATAAGGAAAGATCAGTATAAATAGGCAGCTGATTTGTGCTAGGTTTAGTCGACTTCTCCATCGAGATTCTGAACTGTGTTTCGAAGCTTAAATTCTCGAAGCTTATTCTTGTTTGAGCTTCTCGAATTGCTTCGTTTATCCGTAATTTCTTTGGAGTTTATATATATATATATATACAACAACGAAAGATATATCTTTCGTTGTTGAATTATATCTTGTTCACTATCTATAATCGTTTTAGACCGTTGCAAGCTCCCGGGAAAGGGTGGCGACGACGACAGAGAGATTATGCGGTTGGCGAGGGAAGAAGATACAAGGGTTTCACAATTTTGGTAATAAGCGAGTAAGGACAAATTACGTATACTGAATAGTAACTTGTTAAACGTTTAAATTAATTAAATTTGAGGGTTTTACTAATAAAGCAAAAAGAGTTGGAGCTAAACAGCAGTATTTCCAATGTTTTGGGGGTTTTTTCGCTAATGATCATATTTAAAAGTACTTTCAAATTTATTTTTATTTATTTTTTACTCTACACTTGCCTTTCTCGTCTGTCAACCCAAAACCCCCAAATCTAAAACCCTAATACACTCCGTCGGAGAACCACCGAACAACAATGGCGTTCCGCAGCAAGCTCCGATTACTGACGCTCCAACGCAACCGCCCATTTTCCTCTTCAATTCTGAGCCCGGAATCCAAAACCGCACTCAGCAGCAAAGAGAAATCACGCGCCGCGCTCTCCCTCCTCCGGTTCGAAAAGGAACCGGAACGAATCGTCGATATCTGCCGAGCCGCCTCCTTCACTCCCGACTCGCATCTGGACCGTGCCGCCTACTCCGTAGCCATTTCCAAGCTCCAGAAATCGAATGACTACGAAAGCATTCGTAGCATCATCAGAGACTCATTATCCCGGCCGGATTTCAGGTCCGAGCGCTCCGTTTCGCATTTGATCGTTCTCTACGGCCAGGCCGGTCTAGTCGAGGACGCCATCAACCTGTTCGACGAAATGCCTGACTTGGGTATTCAGGCCAGCGTGAAAGCCTTGAACTCGCTGCTGTTCTCCTGCGCTATAGCTGGGGAATACGGCGAAATGAAGAGGGTTTTTTCGGAATTTCCGAGAAAGTACGGTTTGGAGCCGAATCTGGACACTTACAACACTTTATTGAAGGGCTTGTGTGAATCGGGCAGCGCGAATTCGGCCCACTCTATACTGGCTGAGATGGAGAGCAAAGGTATAAAGCCTGATGCAAAGACGTTTTCTGTTGCGATTGCAGGTTTCTACAAGGAGGAGAAATTTGATGATGTTGAAAAAATGATTGTTTTGATGAAGAAATATGGAGTGCAAAAGGGGATCGGTGTTTATAATGTCATGATACAGAGCTTGTGTAAGCTGAAAAGGTCAAATGAGGCGAAGGCGTTGTTGGATGAGATTCTGTCGAGAAATATGAAACCAAACTGTGTATCGTATGCCCATTTGATTACTGGGTTCTGCAAAGAAGGAAAATTGGATGTGGCTAAGGTTTTGTTCGAGGAGATGGTTCGTAGGGAGTTGAAGCCAGATGCAGATTGTTATTTTACGATGGTTCATTATTTATGTAAAGGACATGATTTCGAGGTTGCCTTGGGTATATGTAAGCAATGTATGTCGAAGGGTTGGATTCCGAATATAACGACAATGAAGTCTCTTGTGAATGGACTGGTTAGTGTTGAGAAAGTTGACGAGGCGAAGGAAATTATCGCAGTGATGAAGGAGAAGTTCTCTAGAAATGCCGATAAATGGATCGAGATTGAGGAAGGATTGCCTAAGTAGTTGTGTACTCGACATGGTATTACTGGTTTATCTTTCGTTATTATGCCGTATCATGTTTGTAATAAGTGCCTTGTCAGCAAGATTGGTTTTTTCTTCTCTTTCTGAGATGCTCATTTAAATTGGTTTCGGAAAATACTGCAGTTTTGTATGCGTTTGAAGTAATTCATATAGATCGTGGTTCTATGATTTTGTAGGTGATTCTTGTTTCTCATCTGCATACTTGTTCTTAGCTGTTCCCCGTCTAATGGTTCGAGGTTTTACTGCTTATTATTAGATCAAAGATTTTGTTCTCATAATGCAGTAACTTTTTATTGCATCGAAGCAAAGATCGGTTGTTGACTTTTTGTTCTTGAATTGAAGGTGTTTCTCTTCATCTGTTGGAGTTGAAGATCCAAATGAAGCTGTGTTAACAAACATGTCACGTATGTATGAATTATGATGATGCTTTCTTAATTGAATATTAATTTCCAGCTCTTTTTTAATCTTGTTTTATATATATATAATTAATATTTATTAATAATAATAAAATAATAAGAAAAATGAAGTATTTTAGGCCAGGTGATTGGGTTATAGAATTACAGGTAAATAGGTCAGATATATAAGCAATTAGAAGTGGAATAAAATATTATACCATTTATCCTAAAAATCCAAAACGTGGTTTCTTGTCATTAAGATGCCTAAAACTAGTTGTTCGCATGATGACTGGGCCCGGCCCGCTTTCATCTTCTTAAAATCATCATTAACCAATTCAAATCAAAATTGATTATTTTCAACTGCTCCTCCTTTTCAGGCCAATCTGTACACATTTCATCAATGATCAATTATTATTCCATCTTTTCCCTTTTCTTTTCCAAGTATTCGATTTTGGTCGATCATAAATGTTATGCATGAAGACGAAAGGGGATCAAATTCTGGGATGATTCTTGAAATTCGAGGGCCAACAGTTTCAGACGTTATCGAACGACGAAGAAGATGAGGTTCCCTAGTTGTTGCAGGATTCCACGCACCGACACAATGAGGAAGAAGGGTTCTTCCCTCAAAGCTTCGAAAAGTTCCGTCCATGAAATTAAGGAAGCCAAGAAATACGATAATGCAGAGGCATTATCCGTAATTGCCAGAAGTGTGTCTATGAATGCCGGTTAGGTTTTGACATTTCGTTAATGCTGTTTACATTTTTCTTGTTCCGAGATTTGTCTTTTTGACATTCTTGAAATAATCTTATTCTCGATAAAATTGGCTTCTTGATTTAGCACCTAATTATAATCCGCGGCCTACAATTATTATATTTGCGTCAATCTTGTGATCAGATTAATATTTACACAGGTGGAAGTAAACAAAAGATAATAGCAGAAGATATCGTTAATCACGGTGTACGAGCGCCGGCAGAGATTTTCACATTCCGAGAACTGGCAAACGCGACCGAAAACTTCAACCCCGCATTGCTAGTGGGCGAAGGTGGATTCGGGAGGGTCTACAAAGGACACCTCAAGAAAACCAATCAAGTATACATACATATATGTTTGCATTACTCTTATAATAGTTTGCATTCAGACAATTTATCTTTAATATTGTTTTTTTGGGGTTTCTAGATAGTGGCGGTGAAGCAGTTGGATCGAAACGGGGTTCAAGGAAACAGGGAATTCCTGGCGGAGGTGTTGACTTTGAGCTTAGCTCATCATCCGAATCTCGTTAATTTGATCGGATACTGTGCTGATGGACGACAGAGGATATTGGTGTACGAGTACATGCATCAGGGCTCTTTAGAAGATCACCTCTTAGGTAAAATATTCTAACATTGCTTACTGTTAGAATAGAAAAGTAGACGAAAAAAAATTGGGATTCAATCTGACATGGGATTCAATCTAACATTGCTTACTAGAATCGATTCATATTCTAAGATTATAACATGGGATTCGTGTTTTCTTGATGGTTCTTGTAATGTATATAGTAGTAACATTCTTTTTTCTCAGATTTACCACCGATGAAAAAGCCCCTCGATTGGTACACTAGGATGCAAATAGCTAGAGGTGCGGCAAAAGGGCTCGAGTATTTGCACGATACAGCGAATCCGCCAATTATATTCCGTGATTTCAAGGCGTCCAACATACTATTGGACGATGGGTTCAATCCAAAGTTGTCTGATTTCGGGCTTGCTAGATTGGGCCCCACAGGGGAACAAGATCATGTCTCGACGAGGGTGATGGGTACCTACGGCTACTGCGCGCCCGAGTACGCTCAGACGGGCAAACTCACGACAAAGTCTGACGTGTACAGTTTCGGAGTGGTGTTTCTCGAGATTATCTCGGGAAGAAGAGTTATAGATAGCACAAAGCCGCCCGAAGAGGAGAATCTAGTCGATTGGGTTAGTTAACATATTGTATTAGTATATATGAGTTTATTGCATTTAGTACCCCCCGCGCTATACCAAATTGCTAAAAACCTCTCCGTGTTATAAATAATAGCGTAAACCTCTCTATGATGAATTGTTTTAGCAAATAATCCCCTAAATGGTGCGTTTTTTCTTTTTAGGGGTACTTTGCTAATAAAATTGGATCGTAGAGGGGTTTATGTTATTATTAATAACACGGAATGTTTTTCTTACAATTAGAATAAACACAAAATGGCGGGTTTTTAGGGGGTAATTTGCTGAAAAAATTGCTTCGTAAGGGGGTGTTTGCTGATATTTAATAGAGGGGGAAGTTTTTTAGCAATTACAGTAAACACATGGGTGCTACATGCAATAAACTCGACAACGTTGATCTTCTTAATTAAAAATAAATAAATTTTACCATGTCTCGTTTTTCAGGCGAAACCTCTTTTTAAGGACAGGGGAAAGTTCGAATTAATGGCTGATCCATTGCTCGAAGGGAAGTACCCAATGAAAGGTTTGAGTCAAGCGCTTGCAGTTGCGGCAATGTGTCTTCAAGAGGAAGCCGGGACCCGCCCCTTGATCGGAGATGTGGTAACTGCACTTGAGTATCTGTCTATTACAGAAGAAGTTGTTAATTGTGAAACAGATGTGTAATGATATATATGTGTGTGTGTGTATATATATTTTATAAATCGATTCTTCGTCGTGTGTCCTGTCGTTAGCAAAAAGAATGGAGAGTGTTTGGAGATTCTGTAACGAAATTGGTTTGAAAAATTTTGTTTGGTTTCTTTAGGAAATTCTTTGTTGTAAAATCATTGGAATTTTGCCCCTTTCGGGTTTGTTCTATAAGTTATGCCCGATGAATTTCACTCGATTATAATTCTATTATAACTTATACGCGTGCATAGATTCATACATATTTTGTGTGATTCCGATATAGGACCCTTTTTAATGTTTAGTGAGACAATTAAATTGCTAGAAGAAAATATTTACTATTAATTAAACAACTTTTAACATACTAAAAAAAATGTATAATTAAATAATAAAAAATCCATAGACTCTATATTAGTTATTAGGGTAAGGTACTAAAACGAGTGGCTAGAAATTGAAAAAGAAAATTATTACTCACTAGATCTCTGTCATATTATTTATTGTGGAACATAGTTCAAGAAACTAATATATCACATTATATAATATCTTGTCAAAAAAAAAAAAAAAAAAAAACTCAAAATTAAGGGAAAAAAAAAGACTTGTACCATATGTGCATTGATTCTATGAAAACCCTAATAAAATGACTGCAATAACCTCACACGTTAATTATTTTTACATTGATTATCTCTTAATAAATTAAGACTAACGAGGGCAAAATTGAGAAAAAGTATGATAAATGCTTCTTTGAAAATACTTAATTACTTATTAGGCATTGGACTATGAGATTTCCTGTTTTCATTTTTATGCAAAAGAGACAAATAAAATGATGCAAAATAGGTGATTTGTTCCACTTTTAAGCAGTACTTAAGGATACAAGAAAAACAAGCAAAAATAGAAAATAATAAATAAATAGATAAATAAATGAATAAAGTGGCAAGTGTGTGATTTGGTGAAGGTAGGTGTGCCACAAACTATGTTGTAAATGGTCATTGAATAACCAATGGGCCACAAGTCCACGGAATGGGCATTTTACCCAACTCTCTCTGCTGATCTCTCTTTCTCTCTCTTCATTTACATTCAATTCAATTGGTTGTTTTGATTCAGATATTGTGTCCCATGCCACAATATATATACATACATACATGTATACACGTATTAACCGAAATGTTAAAAGTCGTTTCAATTTTAATAATACCGTCTTGATTTCGAACATGATTTCGAGTAATTTTTAGTTAGATTTGGGCAACAAACTGCAGTCTTTTGAGTTAGCTTTCTAATTCAGTTTGAATCAGTTGGATTGGATATCGTACGACAAAGTTATTCATGAATGAGTTACATTTTGAATTTTAGATGTCGTACAACAAATTCCGTGTTTCGAATTTTGCCAAATTCAGCATAAAAACTGGGTAAACTCACGTTTGAAGTCGAAACAATATTATTTAAAACGACATTTATCATACCCCACATATTAATTACATATATCACTAAAACAAAATTACATATATATAAACTCATTTACTTAATAGAAAATGCTATAAATTATTTCAAGAAAAGATTCAATATAGTGAAAGTTACATAAATATAAAAAATAATAATATTATATTATATATATATTGAGCTTAGAACAAATTAAGCACTTTTACATACAGAAATATCAGATTTAACAAAAGAAAAATACTAAAAAAAACACACTTTAAATATTTGTTTAAATTAAGCAGAAAAGATAAAATAAAAATAAAAAGCTATATTAAAATTAAACAGATCAAAGTATATATATAATAATAGCATTCAATATACTGCGATAGGGGTTCACGTGGAATTGCTCAGACGGGCCGGGCCGGGCCGCACCAAAGAAATAATTCAAATATTTGTCCGGGCCAGAATTACTGCTTTCAGTGGATCCTTCATGACAACAGTGAATGCAAAAGTCTCAGCCGGGTCGGGCGGGCAACCCGGAATGGGGATCCATTTGAAAGCCTGGACCAGCTTCGCCAGCATGAGGTTCACATGCAGCGTACCCAAACTCCACGCCGGGCATATTCTCCGGCCAGCCCCGAACGGCAGCATCTTCACCCCCCTCATTCCGGTGATGTCAACCTCTACTCCGTCGCCGGTGAGGAATCTCTCCGGCCGGAATTCGCTAGGGTTCTCCCACATCTCCGGGTTCTCCGTCAGCCACGCTGTGTAGAACTCCACGTTCACGTCCGCCGGAATTTTGTACCCGCCCAGCTCGATTTCTTCCGTGGCTGCGCGTGTGTTGCACGGAAAAACATTCTTTAGAACAAGAAGGATAAATATATGTATAATAGTGTAAATTACAAACACCACCCTGAGGTATCGTCAAATTACGAAAAAACCCCTCATATTTGGATAATTACAAGTTACAACTACCTCCCTCAACTATGAATATTCTTAGTTCTTACACATCCACGCTTATGGTGTCAAATTCAACATATTTTTCTAAATTCCGTAGAATGTTGTTCTCTAGTTTGTACTCGTTTTGTGCAAAAATGCAGTTTTTTGACGCACCATAATCTGATATATATAAGTCCAAAAACACATTTTGCTTCAAAATATGGAGCTCGAATGGGATAAAACGAGCAAAAAATTAAGAATATTCCATATAATCTAGAAGATTCTACTAAATTTGACACTGCTATGATGGACGTGTAAGAAGATTTATAGTTAAGGGATTTTTTCGTAATTTGACATACCTCAGGGTCGTCTTGTAATTTACCGAATAATAATAATAATATGCGAGAAAATAGTACCTGCATGTGAGAGAAGAAAATGGCTAGGTGGGTGTCGCCGGAAAGTTTCTTTCACCACAGCTCCGAGGTACGTCATTTTCTCGACGTCACTTTCCGTCACCGGCCCATCTTTTCCGACGCAGTCCACCACCTCGTTGTACAGTTTCTCCTGGATTTCTTGATTCAGCACCAAATGCAGTAGGGCCCACTCGAGCGTGGTGGCGCTGGTGTCGGTGCCGGCGTTAATCGTCTCCGAGCACAGCGTAATTATCTCTTCCTCCCCAAGCTTCCCTCTCCCCGGCGGCTCCAGCCCGAACAACGAGTCTATATAAGCCGCGCCGAACGGGCTGGCCATCTCCGCCGCCGTCGAGCTAGCGTCGCCTCCGCTCTCCACGAAGGCCCGCCTGTCTCGCAGCAGCGGCACCAGGCAATCCAGCTGCCGCCTCCTCAGCTCCCTCGCCTCCTTCACCTGGCGGCGGAACAGCGGCGTGAGCACCGGCAGGAAGTCCGGCAGCTTCGGCAGCGTCATTATCATCACATCTTTCAACACGCTCTCGATAACTTTGATTTTTTCTTCAGAAACTTTCACACCAAAACACAAGCAGATAAGAATACTGCAAATCGTGAGCCGACAGTTGCTCATAACTTCAACGTAGCCGAGCCGAGAACTCTCCTCCCTGAGCCGGCTCATGTGGTTCTCCATCGCCCACTTCCGTATCCAGCTGCACTGCTTGATCCTCGCCGGGTTTATCAGCTCCGTCACGAAGTTGCGGCGGAGGGACCGCCACAGCGGGCCGTACTCCGCCGAGTTGATGGCGCACTTCCCCACGCTGAATATGAGCCGGATGGGCGAGTCGGCTGGCCGGCTCGCGAACAGCGCGCCCTTCTGCACCAGCGCCTCGTGGATCAGCTCCGAGCTGGTGATTATCACTAACGTGCGCTGCCCCATCTGCATGGTGAAAATGGGCCCGTATTTTTCGCGCAAGTCGCGCACGACGAATATGAATGGCCGGCGCTGGAGAATGACCTGGAATAAGTTTCCAACGACCGGCCACCCGGGAGGCCCCGGCGGGAGGTTCTTCGACCCCCCGCCGGTGGTCGAACAGTGCCGCCACCACATGCGGAGGAAGAAGGCCGCCAAGCATAGTACTACAATGTCTATCAACTCCATTATTTTTTTTTTAATTTTTCTTTAATTTAATTTTGTTTTTCCCTTGTGGGAGGTTGGGAGTATTGACCAATTGGAAGTGATGTTGAATGAGTTAGCTATTGGGGGTTATAAAGGAAAAAAATTATTGGAGGTGGGTGAAATGCTTTTAATTTAACTTTCCAAGTTGATGTATTAATTAAATTACTTGGTCACACATATATATATAGAGAGAGAGAGAGAGAGAGAGAGAGAGAGAGAGAGAGAGAGAGAGAGAGAGAGAGAGAGAGAGAGAATGACGTAGGGTAAGAAATTGGCATACACAAGAAAATTGATTTTGTTACCCTAGGTTTAATTACCGGCAATTGTCCATGTGGGTGAACCTCGGGTATTGACAGCCCACAATCGAAGAACTTGGGCGATTGTAAATGTTGAATGCATGATGGGCTACTATTTGCCTTTTTTTTTTACACTAATTATTTTTAGGACAACTGATAGCGCACGAGGTTCTACAAGTTATATCGAAGTCAAGGTCATGAACTAGAGTAATTGTTGAGGGGGGGTTTCTCATGTTAGCCTAGATTTGGATGCAATTGTCCACGTGGGAGAGATCGGAGTATAAACGGTCAACACAATCGAATATCGTGAGCGCTAGCATGTACTAAATGAACACCGATTGATTTCAGAACAACTAGTAGCGATTATGTCCTACAAATTTGATTATAACTCATATATTCAAGTTCATCGATCTCAATTAATTATGAGAGCCAACAATATTTTCCCTTATAACGCGTGCAACAATTTGTCGATCGCAACCGTACTAGAACACTAGTTTGGGTAATTTGAAACATCTATGTATATATATGGTCCAAATTTCCCATTTGGTCCCCCTCCAACTAGTGACATTATGAACCTAACTACACATATATGTGACATATAATATAAGTAAATTATTTAATTGCTACTATATTAAGAAGAGAAGTAGGCATTGAATTTTCTTTTTTTTCTTTTTTTTTTTTTTTTTCGTTATTTTTCTTTTTGGTGTGTTTTGTCGGACTGTTGCTAGATCTTATAAATATCGTAGCACATATTTTTTTTTTGGGATATAAATTATTTATTTAATTTAGGGGTGAAAATTGTAATGAATTCTCGAATTCCGCATATTTCGATCTGAATATTTCTAATTTTAGAACAATATGTTATTCTTCCCGAATTCCAAAAGTCACGATTTCTATCTTTTTTTGGTTTTTTTGGTATTGGATTGGATTATATTTTACTTTCAGGATTGTGATCCGAACTTTTTTAATTTTTCGAAAGTTATATATAAAGAAATTAAAAACTAACTGTAAAAAATTCCGTAGATTTCTATTCAAAAAATTCCAATTTTGGAATAATGTTTTTCATTCCAATATTCAAATTTCCGATTTTAGATTTTCTCAAAACATTTCGGAGCAGAAGTGGAACTAGTTTTTCACCTCCGGAAAAATCGTAATTATTTCTTCAATGGTTGTTGGTGATTACCATTATATTTATATCCATTTCATAACTAAGACAATATGGCCACGAACGACAATGACTTTTTTAATTATAAATAAATAGATTAATGAATAAAGGAATGTTTCCAAATTTTAGTCATGTCACTAATTAATTTTTCGACCTAATTCAATACAATATTGGAAATCGACAAATAATGAAACAAATTCCTTTTTTAAGTGACAGTTATTATGAAACAAAGAGAGTATATTATATTTAATACTTCGCATATTTGCAGTATTTTTCAAGTAAAAATTACCCAACACAAAATCGATGAAAAAGCGCGTTGTATTCGTAGTATACTCGATCCTATTGGTCAAGTATATTTATCTACTGCATTTAATAGCAGGATTAAATTCGAGTTGCTCGATATCTCTACCATCCCAGAAAATGCAGTTGTCTGGCGCTGACAATTAATAACTTGTAATAATCCGATGGATACTATAATTCAATTGTTTGTGTATGTAAAATTAAATAAATTAAATTCAACTTAGGTGGTTGAGTATATGAGATATCTTGGTGAATTGTCAGATAAATTAATTATTACATGTGAGTTTTATTTTATTTTTTAATAAAATAAATAAATAAAAAGAATCATATATAGTTCTTTTGTACCTGCACCCGCCATGCCTCTCATGCAGGTTAATTACTTTTTTTTTTGATTAATTAATACAAACTCAATTTGTCCACAAATATTCGTTTGATTAAATCTGGTCATACGGGACTAGCAGAATTCTATTAATTTATCGAAATAATAATTTAGTAGGTTTTTACCGAACCAGGACCAAAAGAAACTACTTCATCCGTTCCACTTTTAATTTTCAATATTTTATTAATTACTTAATTTCGAGTTTATATGATTTTCGACTCATTCCAACAATTTATGATACTAATTTTAAGCCGCCAACAACAATTGGAGAAAACTAAGACTCGTGAAAATATTTGCAGTGCATTTAAACCCTAATAATATTGTGGTAGCTGGTTGGTTGGAAGGTCTGCAGAGTATTCAGTGAAATTAAATACAAATTCATACCATAAATAAAATAGAAAAAAAAAAAAGCACTACACTTTACAGTAAATTTTGGTTTGGCATTTATAAAATATCTATATCTAGTGGACACAATTTTTAGGTCTAGATTTTTATTTTCAAATATTAATAATTTATTCAAATATTAAATAATAAATAGTAATGTCATTATATATATCGTTCTACATCAACTTTAAGTATATATATATATATATATATATATATATATATATATATATATATATATATATATATTCGCGATATATCGTGTATGATGCTCTACCGTTTATGTAATTTAAGGTATGGAATAAAAGCACAACCCTAGCTATAAATATTGAGCTTTTGTTAGAGAAGAACATCTCAACAACTTATTCATGATTATAAATGAATGATTTTTTTCGTACTAGTTTTTTATTTTTATTTTTTCTCTGGAAAAATAATAATAATAATAATAATAATAAACTCAACTACTTGGGCGTTAATAATAGGCCTTACTACCTTAGTGAAATGGGCCTTTCGTCATTTACAATAACTAATAGAGCCCAATAGTAAATTGGGAGTCCAACTAATATAGCCTAATAAGCATATATACATATGGATCTGTGTGTGATTATGTGTAGATTTACGGTCGAATGTCACTCAGTGTAAATAATTAAACGTAACATCTAACTACCCAAGCTCGTAAACACCGCAATTATGGTGTGGAACTTGTTATATTTTATCCTATTTTCATTTTACTTAATTCAAAATCAAAGGTTAAACTTGGTTCGATTAGGTCTTAATTGCGGTTATTATTTTTCATTTTCTTTTCTTTTATATATTTATATTTATATATAGATTTGGTTCGATTAACTCATTAATGGATAATTAGTTAAACCCTTGCTAAAAAATTTAGGGTAAATTATGAAAAACCCCTAAACTTAGGTTAAATAACAAAAAAACGCACTCACCTATTCGTAATTATCAAAATCTCCATCTGACTAACTGTTGACCGAGATTTTTAATAGAAAATGTGTATAATCTATTATACATTCAGTTAAATAGGTAAAAATAAAAGAAAATATCCGTTTGTGGAAAGTCGATTCCTATTTCCTTGAAATAAAAAAAAGAAGATTCCATGAAAAGTCACAGGGGTTGGTGCAAGACGGACACAAAAATCAGGGAGTTTGGGTAATTACGAAAAAGTGGAGGTGATTTTCGTAATTTAACCTAAGTTCAGGAGGGCTTTCGTAATTTACCCAAAAAATTATAGGGTAAGGGAGCGACTTCTTTTTCAAAATTGGCATAGAAGCGCATTTTGTTTAACTGCCAAAATTGTATGTGATAAAATCCGGCCATCCGTACAACGGCCGACAACGGCGATGGGCGCCACCGCCGCCTTCTCTTCAATCCTCACCGGGAGTATTGTATCCTCTCTCTTATCCGCCTCCACTTGCCGCCGGAACTTCTTCATTCCAATCAACCTCGCGCGCACGTTAGCCTCCACGCAATCCTCTTTCAGGCATATTCACAAACACCACATCTGCAACGCCGCACACAGAAACCGAAGCTGCGAATCCACTGCGTCCGCATATGTTAGTACGGATTCGTCAATTTCCACCTCTAATAATAATAGGTACTTCGATTTCCTGTATGTATATAACTGATTATGCAACTCTGAATTTGTTCTACATAGTTAGTTTGTTGGTACAGGTTACTTCAATAGATTGTAGCATGTTAGCAGAAAAATCAAAAATCTCAAAAAAAAAACTGAAATTCAGTGTTATTGTCAAATAATTTGAGGATTGCAGCGAACCTATTACTAAATATTACGAAAACATAGAGTTCCTGCTTAGGTAGTATCGGATTATCTGGTAAATAATACGAACAATGTCATTCTCTAATTATCTATGCTTCAAAGACCAACTGAATTCTGTAATTTATGGAAAAAAAAATGATTAGGGAATTGAAAAATGAAGTTTCTCGTAAGATTGTTTGAAAAGTATCAGTCATTTTGCTTTGATATGAGATGCCTGCGGTCTGTTTAACGACTCGACTTTTTTTTTGTTATTTTACCAAATACTTGCTTAACCGATAACTATTTCTTTCAGCTATCCTCCATACGGACGATTACTTCCTTGCCCCTCCCAGAATGGACCTCCAAGGGTAGAACACTTTGTTGTTACAGAAGGAGGACCCGTTCTCGATTATATCAGCAAGTCATTAAATATTCCATCTCCGTGAGTTTTGTTATTCCTTCACCATTTTCACTCGAATTCTGTCTTGACATGTGATTATGATAGTACAATTAGGTTGAGTTTGTTTCCTATTTTTTAAGATTTGTTGCAGATCTCATTCATTTTGGAGCAGTATTTTACGCTCTTGTATGCCCAGACCCTCCTCCAACTGCTACACCTGAGCAAATCAATTTTTTTAAAGAATATACTGACCCATCCCTGCTAAGGAAAAGATCGTCGATAAAAGGGAAGACATTCCGAGAAGCTCAAAAGACTTTTCGAATATCTCGCACTGATGAGTTTGTCGAAACTGGGACATACTTGCGGGTGCATGTACACCCAAAACGGTTTCCAAGGTATTCATCGGATTTGTTTTTGACTTACGCCTTGCTTATTTTGGTTTTACACGATATGTGAATCTTGTACTTATAATATATCTTCTCTGATCAGGTGTTACGAAACTGACTGGAGATCTCGAGTTATTGCTGTGGCTGAAAGTTATGTTGTTTTGGACAAGCCTGCGGGTACATCAGTACGTGGTTGATCTTTTTTAATTTTATGATGATCACATTATGCCCTAGTTGTATAGCTTATATAGTTATATGTCGCTGAAAAGGCTAAATGAATTTTCTTTTCATTGCTTAATGACGAGAGTTTTGTTGTTTTTAATTATTGTTTCCTTGAGAATGTAATGTGAGCAATTTTGTCAACATGTGTTAACTTTATCAGGTTGGAGGCACCACAGACAACATCGAAGAAAGTTGTGTAACATTTACGACTCGTGCCTTGGGATTAGAGGCTCCATTGATCACTACCCACCAGATTGATAACTGTACCGAGGGATGGTGAGTCAAAAATATCATAACTATATCGGATATGCAGCAATAGAAGCAGAGTGTTAACTGTCCATTATTTACTTACAGTGTAGTATTGGCAAGAACAAAGGAGTACTGCTCAGTTTTTCATGGGAAAATAAGGGTTAGTGACATATATATCTTTCTCTCGCTAAAGTGATAAGAATACGATTTAAGAGGGCACTCAATTTTTCGGATTTTTACGAACTGAAGATCACAAACATTAATTTGTCTTTAATTTGTATATATGGTCGTTCAGGAGAAAAAGGTTAAGAAGCTTTATCTCGCGCTTGCTGCAGCTCCCGTATCAATTGGAGTAATTACCCACTATATGCGTCCGGTTAATATTGCACCTCGACTGGTTTCTGAAGGTAACTTCATTTTTTTTTTGTGACGTCTTATTGTAAGAATTTAATCCCTTATTTTTCCACTATAATGCATGAGAAAAAAAAAAAAACTATGGTTTGGGTGCATGCAGATTTAGTCAATGGGTGGCACTTATGCCAACTCGAGGTCTTGGAATGCAGGAAGATTCCCTGGCCAAGTAGTATAGCTGAAGAGAAGAACAGAGTTGAGGATTGTGGATGGCCTAGCAAAGACTTTGCATACGAGTGTAAAGTCAACCTTTTGACTGGTCGGACACATCAGGTATTTAATCGGTACCCGAAAAATTTGACATCTATCAAATCTAGTCACGATTCCCAAACATGACCTTAGAGGATAAATTTTTCGTTCCATATTTTAATTTTTCTTTTATTGAACTGCAGATTCGGGCACAATTTGCTGCTTGTGGGGCTCCTCTAGTGGGCGACTCAATGTACATGCCAGCTGCCATTGCTGAGGTGGACAGACCTGAACTGAACCCATTTGGCAAGAACAAGAAAGAGTACGCGAGTGATGATATTAAAGCAGTAGCTGTTGAAGAATGGATTGCACGGCATGGGAAAGAACCTATTGTTGCCATTGGTCTTCAAGCATGCAAGATCTCGTGGGATAGTGATGAAGAGCAGCACAGCTATGAAGCTGGTCGTCCATGGTGGAGGTGAATACAGCTTACATAGCTGTGTGTACTGTGTGCAAGATTAGTCGAAAAGTTGTGTCAGACTTTTTTACATCAAAGGTAAATTTCTTGAATTCTTATAACCTTGTTAAGAAGTTATGAGTAAATCTTTTATATTTGCCTTCATTGATTCAGAGATCTTGAAACTCATCAGCGAAAAGTCAACAGAATATATATCTGAGGCCAGTGGTATTCGGCCAGGCCTGTTCGAACATAGCATAACAAGGAAGGTAATTTTAGATGAATTATTTCTTGAGTAATTATGAATTAACATCTTTTTTTGCTATATATTTGGCTGTAAAAACTATTAAAATTATATATTATACGATTTTATGAATTAACAATTTCAGATATTTTTTGGCAAAAAACACGAGCTATATAGTATACGTAGTATACGATTTTTTTGTAATTATGATCGACTAGTAAAAAATTAGTTCAACTTATTTAGACGAACCATTTCTAGACTGATTATGAATTAACATATTCGTTGCAATATATTGACGGTGAAAAACTATTAAAATAACATATGACCATTTTCCGCTATTTTTGGCAAAAATTGTGAGCTATAGTATACATTTTTTTGTGATTTTGCTCGAGTGGTAAAAAAGTAACGAAACCAATTTTAGATGAATTATTGGTTGATTAATTATGAATTAACATCTTCATTACAATATATTTGACAATGAAAAATTATTGAAATAACAGACGACCATTTTAGTCATTTTTATCAGAAAAAACGTGAGGTATAGCATACGGTTTTCTATGATTTTGGTCGAGTAAAAAAATAGTAAATAAATATATAGATATTATACAGTAGATTGTTTTTTTGAATTGGTAGTGGACTCTCGCCCCTTGTCTCAAGCCACAATCGATAACTTCCTTATCCAACTTGTTATACTCGTTTATTATTTTTATCCATATTTAAAAAAAAAAAAAAAAAAAAAAAACAAACTAAAATTAACCGACAAAGTATCGAACCGTACATATTTAGCTCAACTCATTATATATTTCCAACCACCGTTGTAAATTCTGAATTTAACAAGAAAAAATATATTGTGCAAAAGAGTTGTTCATGAGGGGGTAGCAGCATTTAGTCTTGTCCGAAGCTTTTTAGTTATGTAGGCGAGTTTTTAATGCTACTCCTTTTTTTTGTGTACAGTGAGAATTTAATTCTCAGCTAGCTTTACTGCCAGATGATATCAATCATGACCTAATTTTGCAGTTGTCGTTCAATATCGGTTGAAGTAAGACGAGTCGATTCGAATCGGAATTAGCACTTTCGAAAAACAAAATCCAATTTTGTTTTCGAGAGTGAATGATTGATTCCAATTATGTTTCAAAGTCGGAATAAAAAATCTGTAGTTGGATTAATAAAATAATTTGTTCCAAAATCGAGAATATTCAGATGGAAACCGACATAATTTGGAATTTCATTCTTAGTCAATTATATTATAAAATTCATAATAATATTTAGGGCAAATTACGGCTACCCCTTTAGGTATGGCCAAATTATGAAAAAAAAACCCTCTTATTTGGGTAATTACAGCCTGCCCCCTCCAGTTAGATATTTTTACATAAAATTTATGTAATTATGTTATTTACCGAACCAAATCGTATATTCAGTTCGGTAAATGGTATGAAATGTTGGCGTATCGAAATTTCGGTTCAGTTTTACCGATTTAACGTCACTAAATTTACCTCTGGAGGGGTATTTTCGTAAGATAATACATAGTTGAAAGGGGTGGCTGTAATTACCCAAACAAGAGGAGTTTTTTTTTCATAATTTAACCATAACTCATGGAGTGGCCGGAAAACAAAGGAAGCTTTGGAAATACTTTTAAAACTAAATTTGTATCGAAAATGGGAAATCGGAAATTAATCAGAATAGTCAGAATTTAGAATGAGTAACATTGCTCCATAATTAGAACCTTTTTTTTAACGGAATCAAACGAAATTCGAAAGTTCTGTTCCAATTTCCACTCGTTTATATAATAGCAACGTCTCCTCCCAACATTTTCAGACATGATCAGTCTAGTATAAATAGCAAAGTTAAAAGTAAAAACACTGAATTAAATTAACAAAATACAGCAGTAAATTAAACAAGGGGAATCACTACTGTTTCGTTAGAACGAACAAACGAAAGATTTGATCAACATCCATGCATTGTCTGGTAACTACTTAAAACCTCATTCAAATCTCCGAAAAACTTCGACATAAAATTAAAAATAAAATAAAAAACATAAATACGAGAGAATCTCTTACGATGTTGTTAAAAACAAAAAAGGTATCTGTTTACTTAATAAAGAGATATTTAGTAGGCAGAGTCAATACCCGAACCAATTACCCTTGCAGTCTGGTGAAAATCGTCGCTTTAGTCGTAATAATTCATAATAAACACCACCCGGCAAGGATTAATTCAAGGTGCGTTCTTGACTTCTTCGTTACTTCTTCCTCCGATCCTCACTGCCAAAAAAAAATTTAAATTAAATAAACGAGAAGCTATTTATCGATGAATTTATGTCTGAAAAGTCAAGCAAATATATCCTGGATTATTTAGTTATATTTAGTAAAGCAGCTTATTTTAAGAGAAGTAGAAACATACGAGATTGGGGTTTAGAGAAATTAATTACCATGCATTAAGCACCATCACACGAAACGGCACCTTTGATCCTCTCCACGGTGCACTTAATAAGGCTATTAACAGTCGCCACCGAGCCAAGAGAAAGCTTAGCCGTTGGCACGGAATCAACTAGTATCTGAAACGCAACCGTCAATAGGGACCCACCGTTTCCAACATCGGGCCCACCACTACCACCTTCATCGTTATTGTTATTGTTTTTAATAATATTATTGTTGTTTTCAGGTCCATCAGGTAGTATAGCAAAACCAGACGGCAAAAGCGCCACGTAATCGGGATCTCCGCCGCTCAAAACCACGTTCATGGCTATGATATCCACCGGAGCGTACACCACGAACGAGCCGGTCGAATCGGAGCAACTCTCTTGCAGTATCAGCATATTGCTCTGGCTTGAATTTGCACTCTGCATGCATACATATATACATATATATAGCAATTAATATCCTCGCATACATATATACAAATATATAACACATAGTGTTTTTCGACAATTAGAGAAAAAAAGGGGTGCTAACTGCAATAAACCAAAGATATATATACTGTAATTCAGTTAGAAAAAAAAACATGACATATAGTACAAATAAAGTTGATTTGAAATGAGTTTCTCGATTCTTACGTTAACACGAAGCAAAGAGACGGAGTTCCCGGGATCGCGTCCATTCGCAATGTGCGCCATTTCTTGAACTAATCCACCATTCGAGAGAATATCCCACTTTTTATTTAATCACAAGAAAAAAAAAGTTGATTAATTATATAAATAATCTTGACAAAGGTAACAAAAAGTTTTTTTTTTTTAATAGTAATGATTTGATAACAAGTTTATATATATACATACCTCGCTTCGCGAGTTCTCGTCGCGAAGAAAATCGAAAACGGTTTTAGGTGGGACCGGGAGCCAAAACGAGGTGGCAGCGCTAAGCACAATGCCCGGTGGCCTGCCTGGATCATCCATGCTCTTTCTTGTCATAACCCTAACATCATCGGCCCCACTTCCAGACAACGTTGTCCACGTGTGCGCGGTGGACGCACCCACACCGGAGCAGAAGCTCATCAGCATTCTCTCCGCCAGCTTCAGCATACTCTTTCTTCCTTTCGGTGAAGATATTACTGCACCAATATTTAAATTTACATGTCATATAATATATACTAGTCTCTGAAAATTAATTAATAAATTCCCAAGACATTAATTATATTGTATATATATATCTTGATATAATATAATGTACCTCCAACATCACCAGCTGCAATGCTGTTAGCCATAACGCTCGCAAGACGTTCGCACTGCCGATCGAGCGTTGCCACCCAACGTTTAGCACCGAAAGCAAGACCTGAATTTACGAGCGGTTTGTAGATATTATGAACCGATCTATCGTCCACTTCCACATGCTCAACCCATGTAACCTATTATCAAGAAAATACATATACATTAACAAATCAAATTGATTAATTATATATATATTAACCGAAAATATGAATAAATTAATTCAATTTAAAAAAAAAAAAAAAAAAAAGAGAAAAAATATGGTTATTACCTTAGAGTAGCCATTGGGCAATTCTTGAATGAGACAACCAGAAGGCCTTCTTCTGCATCTAGATACAGAAGTAGGTCTTAGGTTGTCCAACGAAACATCGACAACTGCCCAAATTCCTTCGCCGTGTTGTTTGCAGTATCTTACAAAATAGTTCTCTCGAGTCGGAACCAATGGCGAAGGCACCTGAAACTCCGCGGTCATCTACAAAAAAAAAAAAAGATTTTTTTTAATCAAGTAATGCAAAGTATGTAATAAAAAAAATAAAACCGTGTTATATTTTTTTTTCGATTCCCTTACCACTTGTAAAGCTCCATTGTAATTGCCCGCCACCCCGGTCGACAACACTTCCAAAGTCATTGCCCTAGACACAATACTAGCAAACACATTCGACCATTGATCCTACAATAACATATGTATATATATCGATATTAAAAATCGTACGACATTTTTCGAACAAACCCTAAAAAATAAACAACCAATCAATTAAAAACAAACATACATACCACATCCATGAGGATTTCGACAAGGTTGACATGATTCATAATCACAACAGCCGACTCTCTAGAAGCTTCCGACTTAAACCCTAGCGGCTTCGGACCAATGCCACGTGGGAATGTCCGAACGTACTCTTCTTCACTCAATATCTCGACGGAGCTATCACTGCTTGAAATCCACAAAGGCTCCCCACTTTGAGCCATTCTTATCAACTCCTCCATGGCTGCGACAGCTAGCTCGATGATCATTGGCTTGTCCGCATCGGTGGGGCCCGATACTGACCTAAGAAGATCCGCAGCTCCGTAAATATTTTCTCCCGGAATATTCCCACCTGTCTGTGTGCCGTAACTCCCCACTCCAAGATCGAGCGAACGAGATGAAGCGGATGAAAGGTGTGGGTATGACAGCATTGGTTTTCCGACGTACTTTGCAGCTATTCCCGATATCCTATCAATCTGCCACGTCATCATAGTACGTGTTTTTTTTTTGTTAGGACCATGATGTAATAGAACATTTAATTATATATATGTTCACTATAACATAAAAACAAGAAATATTTTGGAGGATTAATTAGTAGCCCTATATATTTACCTCTTCTCTCAAGCGAACGTTTTCGATCCTGAGATGCTGTTCGTCGAAAGACATCTCTCCAATGGCAGCAGGACCACCACAGTTTGGACAGGTGGCATTAGTCAGAGCTTCTTTGTACCGTACATTCTCCGCCCGTAGCTTCTCGTTCTCGTTGCGAAGGTTTGTGTTTTCATGGCGCTCGTGTTGAGACTGAAAATAATAATAACAATAACAATCACTATTATATGATTTATTATGCATACAAACTTTACACAACATTAATTAAACCGAGGGAAAATTGTAGTTTTGGTGCTCTATGTTGTCCGATTTCGTATTTTAGTCCTCTATATTATAATGTTCTTTTTTTTCAATTTACATGCAATAAGTTTCCCAATTTAGTATATAATTGGTTCTATTTTGCATGATTTTTTTAAAATTTTAGGGCAAATTACCCACCCCTGAATTATGGTCAAATTACGAAACCCCCTCTTATTTGGGTAATTACAGACACTCCCATCCACTATGTATTATCTTACGAAAAGACCTCTCCAGAGCTAAATTTAGGGATGTTAATTCGGTAAAACCGAACCAAAATTTTGATACACCATCATTTCATACTGTTCATCGAATTAAATATACGATTTGGTTTAAAAAATAACCGAATTACATAAATTTTATGTAAAAATATTTAAAAGAAGGAGTGGCTGTAACTACCCAAACAGTAGAGGGTTTTTACGTAATTTTAACCATATACATTCACTTAAAAATTATAAATTTCAGTGATTTTGTTACCTACATTGTTAAACAAAGTGGGTAAAGACCAACAATAAATATACTATTTTTGCATGTAAAATGACATATTTGTCCCTGAGAAAAGATACCTTCATCTGGGTGCGTTTGTTCTGGAACCAGAACTTAATCTGCAGAGGCTCTAACCCTAACCGGCGGCCAAGCTCCTTCCTCTGTTTATCATCAGGGTGTGGGCACTCTTTGAAAAACCTGTCAAAACATTATTTTTTTTTTTATTAGGGCAAAGAAAAAAAAAAATCAGACAGCTGGCAGAAGATGTCCGTACGATTCCATTTCTTGGATTTGGTGCTGGGTGTGGCGGTGGTAGCGCTTCTTCTTAGGGCGTTGATTGGGGTCCTGGTCGTCGCCGGAGGTGGGCTCCATTATGTCGGTGCCGGATTTGCTCTCGTACTCTTCGTCCCGGATCAGGTGGTCCATCTCATTATTTTCCGGCGGTTTGTGGCCGGCCATTTCCAGCAGGTGGTGGTGGCTTTCGAACATGTTCGGCTGAAACATCTCTTCTTGCTTCTCTGTTTGTGTGTGTATATATATATATATATCTCCGACACGGTGAAAAAAGCTGGAATTTTAGGTAACCTGAGAATGAAGAATTAATCAACAAGTATTAAAAAGATAGATAGATACATAGATAGATACAGTAAGTCAATAACCAGTGTGATAAATTTAGACCTAAAATCCATGATGTAATAAATTAAATCCAAAGACGGTTCAGTTTTTTCTTTTTCTTTTTTTAATTAACCATGAGAAGACGAAATGGTTGACTTTCTTGAAAATAATTATTGTTAAAGAATAAAATGTCCTTATAATTAATAAAAGTGTGATATGACAAGGAAATTAAATAGGGTTTGTTCAAAAGTTATTTGTATGTACAGTACTTGAAAATAAATCAATGGTGGAAATTAATAAAAAATAAAAAAATTAATAAATGATTTGCCCATTTGTTCTCGATTGATGAGATCATGGTAAGTCTTATCTACTAATTAAACAGTAACGGAGTTTCTTAAACTCGCCGGAATATTCTGTACAAAAAAAAAAAAAAAAAAAAACCCTTCTTAAAAATGGAATCTCTGTCAGTATCAGAGAAACATAAATCGGGTGGTTTACTTTACATTTAAACAACAGACTAATAACAATGGAGTTTTGGTTTTCGTTTTAGGGTTTCAAACAAAGAAATGATGGTATACATATTACATAACAGATAGAGAGAGAGAGAGAGAGAGATGGAATTAATCAAAGAAGTTCAGCTGAAATCTTTTTTTATTGTTTCTCTCTCTAAAACAAATTGAAGAGAGCAAAATTCAGGAACTGAGAAACAAACTTACTGTATGTTCTTGAAAAATCTCGGACAGGAAGAAAACCCTACTTTTTGGTTGTTATTACAGCGAAGGAAGAGAGAGAGAGAGAGAGCAGATCTGGTTTATAAAGAGGAGGAGATAGATTTGAATAGAGAGTAAAATAAAGGAGGTGGTTCTCAGGTTAATTGCAGATGGTGCCTTTCTTGTGAATAGAATTTATGAAGGAATGCTGGGATGTGAGGGGATGAGAGAGAGAGAGGTGATATATGAGAGAGAAAGAAAGAGAGAGAGAGAGAGATATAGAGAGAGAAAGAGAGATGAGAAGGGTGAAGAAGGAAAGAGGAACAGGTGGAGAAGATGTGGCAGCGAAGGAGTTATTACAGAGCGGGTGCGATTGCATTTAATGGCGGGGAGAGGAATAGAGAGAGAGAGAGAGATGGTTTTTATTGCTTAGGAGAGAGAAAGGGTTTTTATTTATTTATTTATTATCATTTTTTATTTTTATTTTTAAATTTTAAATATTTTCATGTTTCATGCGGTGAAAGAACATAGTATTATGGTCTCTCTCTTCCCCCACCCCCCAGCACACACACACACACACACTGAACTCAATCCCCCACTGTATTTTTTTTTTGTGTTTTTTTTTTTTTTGTATTTTATGTGAAGAATAAAATATAAATGCAGTTAACCGAAAAGTATTAACAAATTATACGAAATAACTAGGGAATACGATTATACGACGTCTACGAGAAGTTGCGTATCTACGGGTGTTCGGTGTAGATACTACGAATTAATGGAACGGTTACAACATTTCCGAAGCTCGAGAAATTTAATTAATGTATCGAGTGTATTTAAATGAATACGGAATTTAACCTTGAAAGTTTATTTTCCCTCTTTTATTCATGTGTGTAATAATTTTATTCGAGGCAAAAACGGGTTGTATGTATAATTTGAATATCGAAAAAATAATTATAATATTTTTCGATTTTTTTTACTCGGTGTTATCCGTTTGTATAAAATGGCAACGAAATCGTATTATCGTGTAAACAACTCACATTTTTCCTAATGTGCTGAAATTTAATTTTCTTGCTAGTGAGCTGTTGCTGATGAAAATTTATATATCATCTATATATATATATATATATATATATATATATATATATATATATATATATATATATATATATATATATATATATATATATATATATATATATATATATATATATATATATATATATATATATATATATATATATATATATATATATATATATATTAAATAAGCAGTAGTAGCCTTTATTTAATGCTGTGTTTAAATAATATGGTGCAATATTGTTTGAGCAAACGAGGTCCCATTCACTACGGTTGGTAGACAAACCCTTTAAAGAATTAATCCTTTGTATTTAATATATTTATTATGGTGCTGTTGTCATGTGTAGATAAATATATGTCACCTTTTATTTTATTTTTTACGAATAATAATTAACCAAAATTAAATGATTAAATAAACATAGAAAAAAATTAATGAGATTAATTTTCTTGTCTCCTAATCTTGTCACATTGATATAGCAAAGTTGCAAGAGATTACAAAGATTACTTCCCACATATTTAAACTCTCATTTTCTATCTTTTTCTCTCGATCGATCTTTTGATACGCGTGTTTATATGGTGCACGTGTGTGCGTTTCTTCTTAACTTCAACAATTCATCATTCCTTATTATATCTCGAAAAGGAATCCTTCGAGAAGTTTTCCACTGTATCCGAGGCTTTCAGCTAACTTTGATCGGCGCCTTCCTCTCGTTCCACGTGTGGACTAATCTTCCAACTCGTCGCGACTTTGATTAGTCGATCGAAATTTATATGTCTCTTTGTTTTGCAATAATAATAGCATTTGGAAATTAGTGTAATAACTTGGAGCCATGGACACTAGATTCTTGCCTAATTCTATTAGCTCAACTTATCAATGCAAAATTTATATCTATGAATTTGAGCTATTAATATAATTAATAATATAGTTAATAATCATTGAACAATGATTTTTATTGATATTATTGAGTCACTTAGCTTATAATTATTAAAGTCAAAGTCTAGATTAATTAATACGAGGTTGTGTTTTTTATCATGCAACTAATTACTTTGGTCCCTCGCAAATCCTACCAACAAATTAATATAAAGAATGAGTTTTTATTATGCAATTAATTATTTCAATCTAGCCTTTAATTTATATTTATTTAATTTGTTGGATTATCAAACCAGTTTTCATGTTGATATAATTATTCTTCTTTTAGGACAATTATTAATGGTTCAGTTAAATCGTTATATATACACTTGAGATACTGAAATGGTCTATTTATTAATCGAATAATAAAAATTAAGAAATAAATAAATAAAAAGGATCCGACTTCATGTTTTCTAAAAAAAAAATTTAATGATAAAGGAACCTGCAGCCAACCATATAAATTATACTAAAATTATAACATGGTTAACTTTTAATATAAATTTATAAATCGAGAGTATGTCTAACTCTGTCGACCGGCCAGTCGCGTTTTTTTAAATTGTTTTCCATTATATTTATTTGACAATATATATGTTCCATAAAAAAGAGCCCATGATATATAAGCCCATAAAGAAGAAGGCCCGGCCCACCCGGCCCATACAAATGTGAAAACTAATTGAATGTGCATGAAATTCACTAATAAAAACAATTTAAAAAGTTAATAACAAGAAATCAATCTACAATAAAAAAGCATATAAAAAAATTTAATAATTAATAATTAAAAAAAGAAAATAAAGAAAAGAAAAGGCTCAAACAAACAAGTACTATGTAGTCTACATTTGTCTTCTAATATAATGTATCAGTTCTAAACAAGGTTAACTCTTCACAAGGCTGCCCTTCACCTTAAAAAAACCGTATATATATGCGATAAAATAAAACCACACGAATTTTCTACGTTGCTCGATGAAAAAAATTGAAGATTTCTGCGTAAGTAGAAAAACACGAGGACATACTAAAGAACTTTTCGACGAGCATGGGAGATTTGAGTAGTTATTATTAATAATTATGACACTTTAATGTTGGATGGTTTAGAATCTTCCTCGATGAATTTGGATTTCGATTTTCCATTTCTTGACGACCTTGATGAGTAGGAAGCACCCGATTTCGGAGAAGAAGACGACTTTGGTTTTTTTCTCTTCTCCTTTTTCTTGGTACGATGATGTTCTGTTGAGGGCATCTCGGATTCCGACTGCTGCCTCATCGATTGATCGCCAAAATCTTTTTCATCAAAAAAAAAAAAAAAACACGAGTAAATGTCAAAGGCGTGGAATTTATAATAAATTAGATGAATATCGATTTTGGTTGTTCGTCGTTCAAGAATTCTTGTTTGGGCACTTCATACCACCCATACATAGTTTTTTTTTTCAATTCTTCGGTGCAATTTGACTAAACAGTTCGAAAATCCGATAATCCATATTTTATTATTGTGTTTTGAGAAAATAAAAAAATAAAAAAAAAATAGATGCAAAAAAATAAAAAACCAACCTTGAGACGACCACGGAGAAAGAGCGGAACCAGAATTACCGATCGAAGTTGCTGCGTAATCCTGTCCCGCTCTGAATTCGTTCATCTACATTTTCAAAAAAAAAATAAAAAAATAAGCCAATAATTATTTAAAAAACTATATATTAAAAAAACAAAAAAAATGGCCTTATAATATGAAACGACATGTACCCAAGTAGGTGCACCCCCGGAGGGACCTTCCCACCCGATGTGTGCGACGTGCTTAACATCCGTCGGACCTCCGATTTCCATTTCCATTTCACGGTCCTTTACGACTATAATAATAAAAATTAAATTAAAAAAAAAAAAATGATCAATCAATTTTCTAAAAAGAAGCTCAAGATTTTGGAACAGGGGATTTACCGAATATCTGAGAAAGAGTATATTTAAATCCTTTGTAGATTCCTTTCATTTTTGTTCCCATTAACGAAGAAGATGTACGGCTACGATCGATCTGCTGCGGCGTACGACGATATGAAGCACAATGTACAAGCAACCACCACCACCACCACCACCAATCTGCCAAAGTATTGCTCCTTTGCCTATTTCAAATACCAAAGTATTTTAATCTTTTTTCCTTCTCATGTAAGAAATTCTTGAATTAAAAAAAGCTGAAGATAAAAATGTATGATTCTGTTTATTTAATTATTATTATTATTATTATTATTATTTTTTTTTTGCATTTCCATTTGCTTTCAAGAAGAAAAGAATAAAGGGACCCCAAAAAATGAAATCCCTTTTTGCATAGAGAGAGAGAGAGAGAGAGAGAGAGAGAGAGAGAGAGAGAGAGAGAGAGAGAGATGAACCTTTTTTTCAAATGAAAAGAGAGAAGAGAGAGAGGAGATTCAAGAGAGAAGCATCTTCTCCTCTCATAATGGCTATGACGACGACGAAGATTCCCATACGTCTTCAAATATTGTTGCTGGTTTATTACACATGCTAAAATAAAAAGGCATGCATGCAAATCGAACGCAACGAATTAAATCAAGAACGAAACAAGAATCCCGCGTAAATAATTAATGAAAAATAAAAAAAAAACGAGGTAACGTTGAATAAAATTTTTGGTTTTTGAGGTGGGAGAAGAAAAGAAAGAAAGACGACGAAGAAGAAGAAAAAAAAACAAAGAGAGAGCTGCGAAAACCACGAAAATCTCCTAAAAATAGGTGTTGGTTATGTTATTTGAAGGGCAGAATTGACAAAGAAATAAAAAAGAAAGTTCTGAGAAAATGTTTGCAACAAGGCAATAAATAAAGAGTTGCTAATCTTGTAATTAATTAAAAAAGAAATAAATAAATTGCTTAAACAACAGAAAAAATGCTGTTAAAGAGTCTTTAAATGTGTTTATACCAACACTTTAAGCTAATTTATTAAAGTTTGGTCCCTTTTGAAATTTTAATTTTCCCACTTCTCCCCAAAATAAAATTACTATTAAATCGGATTTTCGAAAAATAAATAAATTATTTATTCATTAACAAATAATAAAATAAACAAAAAAATAACCAGAAACTAATATTCAACATACCAACTGTCAGAAATGATCCAATGAACATGACTTTATGTTTGTAATGTGTTTATGGCCATCCATAATTTCCTACACAGAATCTTTAATTTATTACAAATGGGATTTGTTTTTATTATTTTTATAATTCCATGCGCATGTCACCATTTTGCTTATAGAATAATTCGGTTGATTGGCACTTTGCACCCTCCAAATACATTTATTTGACACTTTGGAACCCTCAAATTACTACTAATTTGTCAAAGTGTACCCTTGGTATCTTTTCGGCATCAATTTGATCAGAAAAATACATTTTTATCAACCTCTGGTATAGTTTGCTTGTTTTTCTCAACCGTCATTTTAAACAAGCAAACAATACTGGAGGTTGATAAAAATGTATTTTTATTATCAAATCCATGCCGGAAAGATATCGAGGGTGCATTTTGCCAAATTAGTAGTAATTTAAGGGTGCAAAGTACAAATTTTACAATTTAAGGGTGCAATGTGTCAAATATAAGTATTTGGAGGGTGCAAAAGCCAATTACCCGAATAATTCACAATTATACTTTATTTACAATCATCATTCGGTTTCTCTTTATGTGGTTGCCAGTTAGGCCGACTAGCTTTTTGCATATGATCACATTCCAATCTATATTTGTTTAATTTTTGCAGTTTTTTTTTTTATTATTTTATTTATTTTATTATAATTAATTAAATAATTTATTTTGTAATCAATGTTGTGACCACGTTTGGGGATGTTGTTGCTTGTGATGCAGCATCTCTTATATTTCATATTACTGAAAATGGAAATTTTGCTCGTCATTTTCGGACAATTTCCACCCTTAACTGCTAATAATTAATTATTGGTCCTGACATCTTCAATTATTCTTCGTTTATTATTAATAATAATAATTGGCACATTTATTTTTAATTCAGGTATCCTACCAATAAATCTTGGGATATAGTATAATATTAACTTTAATTCTTCTTTTTTCAAAAAAAAAAAAAAACTTTAATTCTTCCCTTGTAAATATTAATGTCATCACTATTTATATTTTACTCCACTCGTTTCTTTTTAGGTGTCGTTGAAGGTTAATGTACGTCAATTAAAAAAACAATAAGAGGAATAGGACCAAGTATTAGTGGTGAACAAATGGCCCACCCGACCCGCCACACGGCCCACTGGTTTCACGGGCCGAATTTTGTTCATCAGTACCAAGTATGAGTGTCCTAATCATCTGGGCCTAGCTTTCTACTATTATATGGATTAATTTTGGAGCAGTTTGTCACGTTTCAGGAATTTTGGGGGATCATTTTGAAATTGAATTTCAGGAATTTACTTCAACAATTATGGCAGAGAGGGCCTTGTGTCTTCATTGGCTTTTCAAACTAAGCGTAATAAAAGAGAGGCCAAATTACCAATGTTCCAGTCTACACAACAGCCACAGTAAAAACTGATTTCATCGTTTTTCGGAGTAGATTTTATAACATTTATCCCTGGAGGAAATGCGTTCGAATATTTTCCACAATTACAGGTCAAAGGCAATCAAGAGATCACCACTGCAGCTGAGCTTGAATATTTTGCATCAATATAATCAAAGTGTATCGAATGTTTGAGGGTTAGGATTGAAATCCGTGATTAAACATGGGGGGCTCGTAATTCAATCAAGCATATGAATGATATTGAGACAAAACCTAGATTTTCCGACTTGGATCACTAAAGCTAGAAGAAGGAAAAAAAAAAAATAGACGAACTTAATATCTCTCACATGACTAGCTCTTATGCTTCGCTTCTATACCCTAACTCGTGGAATAGAATTTAATCATTTATGGATTTGTCACATGAAGAGAAACGCGCTATGCCACCGGAGAAAAAAACCTTAATAGATTACATACATTAGATAAAGAATACATGCATAGAGAAACTGGAAATACCTGTGAGTCTCGGCCACAAAATTATGAATCGTGTTTTAGGGTAAGACGAGTCTCTTGTATTAAAACTAATTTGAACGTATTCAAAAGCACAAAACTCTCTTTTATCACTACTACACGTTACAGTGACAAATATACCCGGAATCTGAACTAACCAAGGGTACATTACTCAGATATAGCCCGTATAGGAAAACGACGATACTCCACACTCTAATTCTTAACCCCAGTCCTGGATTTACTGCAATTCAAGAACCTAACTATAACTATAGTTGCAATCATAAGTTTTTTAGAGCACTCTAATTTCTGCCCATATATACGGTGTTTTACAAGGCAACCAAAGGAATAGATCAATTTACACGATAATCGTATCCAACATTCACTAAAGTCTATAGTTTCTGATTTCGCAACGTACCCTCTAACCCTACCGATTAACTTCACTCGTACACTATACAATTGGTTAACAATACCTATGTACAGAACCATACTTCCCCACAACGCAACGAATAATTCGCATACAGCATAAATACAGTGCAACAAAATTAACATAGTAGAGAATTGCAAGATACCAACAAATAATTCAGTATTGCATATAAGTAAGTCTCGCGAAAAAGAGAGAGAAATATCCATTGAAGTAAAAAAGAAAAAAGCTCAAGTTATGGCTAAGAGCTATATTTGTTGAGTGCATACTACAAATTAAGCTGGATCAAAATAAGTCTCACCTAAAAGGCAGAAACAGAGCATCTTCATACACGATCACCAGCTCGAAGGCCAGTATCCATGAATACCGTAGCCCGTTTTCCAGTTATCCAAGAAAACGACTTTCTTGACAGCCCAAAAAGACACAATCAGCATCGAAATCATCAAAACTCGCTGCACGTTTCTGTTCTTCACTCTCACGAGCACGTGGGTTACGAAAGCTAGCATTAGCCCAACAATGGTGTACAAGAAACCGATCGAGAACCCCTCTGCGCCCAATTGCATTCCCGAGCCCTGGTAGAAGAACACCAATTTACTCGGATCTTGCCTGTCCGCCATGAACATGGGCATTTTCCTGATTATGTTGAACATCGCACCGGAAACACTGAAGAAGTAGATGAAGATTGCCCCAGCCATCCACAGGTTCTTCTCGTGGAAGATGGTTTTTCCGGTGAGTAATTTTTTGATGAAGAACGGAGTCCAGATCAGCACTACCGCGAGTAGGAAAAGGATCTGCTTTCTGGAAACGGCGGGGGGGCGATTGATGGGGCCCACTGAGAGCTTGGTCCTCGATTCGATGAACTCGGCCATTGATTCGGCCAATCGGGAGAAATCGGAGGCGTCCATTTGGATTGAATCGGTTTTGACATCGGCGGCGGTGGGTGGGATTAGGCGGATGTGGGGGAGGGCGTTGACGGCGAAGAGGCCGAAGGAGGCCTGTGATTCCTGGAATTCGATGTTGAAGAAGAAGAGTTGGGGGTTTCGATTAGGGTTAGGGTTGTTGATTTGGAAAGAGGAGGCGACTAGGGCGAATTCGGATTTGAGTTTGGGGAGGGCGAGCTCCGCTTTGGAGTGGAGCTGAGTGGCGTCGAAGAAGATCATGGAGTGGAACGGGCGGGGGGTGGGGAGGGAGAGGATGCGGCGGAGGAGGGCGTCGTTGAGGTGGATGACGCCGGTGGGTGACTGTGATTGGAGGTTGGAGAGTTCGGAGACGACGGAGTCGGAGGAGAGGGAGGCGGCGAGGGTTGTGAGCAAGAGGAGGAGGCTGATAGGGAGGAGGAGGAGGGCGGCGCCGCCGCCGATAGGGGTTTGAGAAATCGCCATTGGTAGCGGCGGAGATCTGTGTGCGGTGGTGTGGCTGTGCTGCAAAGCGATGAAGACTTTTCTCTGGTCAGATTTGGGATTTGGACAAATGGATGCTGACTGTGATTTCTTTTTATGTGGTTCAGCCAATAATATTATGACACGTCAGAATCAATAACCTGGCTCTTTTTCTTGGTCTTCTATTTGTTTTTTTTTCTACCTATAAAATTTATTTGAATTACAATTATTATTTCTACTATATTTATCAAATACTTAGGGGATTATTAGCTTAAGTTCCTTATAGACATTTGTTGCTGCTTAAAGGACTGGCAATATTTCTCATTTTACTAAAAGTCCTCTACTTCGAGGGCGTTAACAGACAAGTTTATCCTTAGTGTACTTTTCGATAGTATCGTCTGATCAAAAACATATTTTGAAAGTTCAGAACTTAAAAATACATGAATATACGTATTCAATAGCAAAGAGGACATACGAAGAGAGCTTAGAACGACATCGAAGAGATTATTTAAGAAGCTTAGACTGAGTATTATCAATACATGAATAGATGCATCACTCCATAGAGAAGTATACACACATGAAAACTATACAGCAGTGACTACAAGGAGAGCTTAATTACGAAGCTTAGACATAATTATACACACATGAAAACTATACAATGAATAGTATAAGGAGAGCTTAGTTACAAAGTTTAGTTATGTTCAGTAGTTCTCTTCCATGAAATACTTACCTAATTGCAACCATCTCTCCCTCATTCCTCTCAAATCATACCGCTAGTCAAAGTGAACCAACCAACTACTGTTCATATCCTCCAAATGTGCATATATGCTTTTCCGATGACTATTGTATGTGAATTTGCGTGTGTTTGTGTGTGTGTGTGTGTCATTGTATGTATGATAGTTGATTTTTATTCGATGACGACGGCCATAGAAGAAGACGTCGGTTGCGGCGTGAAGATGACGGTTGCGGAGACGATATATGGTTAATGTGCTCGGGGAGAAAGAGATGGGGTAACTCCGTCTTAAAATGATAGACGACTTTTAGCAAATAGCCAAAATCGGACCGTCTAGATTCGAAAGGATATTAGTAATGAAGGTTGTTCATAAGTTAATATGTATAGTAAGAGACAAATCACATAATCACAAGCTATGTAAGTAGAGAGAGATCTTCTTGAAATCATGAACAAGGGGGGAAGGAACTACACAGAAGATGGAAACATTTCAAGCAAAAATCTGCAAATAAATAGTACTTCAGTACTTCTAATTAAATAAAAGTCCCTAATTAAAATCCGAATTCGAAATAATTAATCCCCTCCTCTTATTACATTTTATTCAAATCTCATTTTCTCGAGTCGACTCGGAATCTAGGCCTCGACAACATCATCGGCCTCGGCCGAAGCCAAAACAAGCTCCGGTTGAGCTTCACTGTAAGAACCATCCAAAGCATGTGGTAATCCCAAAGCCTTCAATGCCAAGTGAGCTGCTTTCTGTCCCGAAATCATCATCGCTCCAAATGTGGGCCCCTATATAAAATTAAAGTTAATTAATCACGATTAATGAATTTTTAGTTTTGCATACGCATCAGAGATTTCATTAAATCTGTCTTGATTTTACGAAAAAATATATATTTTTAAACTAAAAGGTCAGATAATATGAAACTGGAAAGAGTTGATATCAATAGGGCAAATTACGGCCACCCTTGAGGTACGCCAAAATTACGAAAAAACCCCTCTTATTTGGGTAATTACAACCAGCTATCTTTTTAAATATTTTTACATAAAATTTATGAAATTCGATTATTTATCGAACCAAATCGTATATTTAATTTGGTAAACGACATGAAATGTTGGTGTACCGAAATTTCGGTTTCTGTTTTACCGAATTAACCTCCCTAAATTTACCCATAGATTGGTCTTTTCGTAAGATAATACATATTGAAAAAGTGACTATAATTACCTAAACACGATGGGGGTTTTCGTAATTTAACCATAACTCAGCGGTGGCCGTAATTTGCTCATAACGATATGAACTGGAAATTACGTAATTAATGCAGTATTGAAAATTTAAAGTGACAGATAATATGAAACGAAATATTTTAAAAAAGAGACAGATATTATGGAAGAGAGGGAGTACCATTCTTGGAGAGCCGTCAATTTCGGCAACTTCCATTCCGGTGACGATCATGCCGGGGACGATCTCTCGGGTGAGCCTGACGATGGCATCCTCGGCGGTGTTCATGTCGAGGGCCTTCATCCCGGGGACGCTCTCGATCATTCCGATGCTCCTAAGGCGCTTGACGCCGGTGGCGCCGAAGGGGCCGTCGTGGCCGCACGAGCTGACGACGATCTTGGCCTCCATGACGTTGGGGTCCATGCACGACTGGGTGTGGTGGTTCTGGGCGACGAGGGCCCAGTTGGTGACGACGCCGGCGACTCGGCCGCCCTTGACGATGAGATCCTCGGCGGCGACGGCGTTGAAGAGCTTGACGTTGGGGCGGGCGAGGAGCTTGCTCATGATGGTGGAGGTGAAGAGGGCGGCGTGCTTGATCACCACGTAGTGGTCCTGCTCGTCGTACTCGATCTCGAGCTCGTCGAGGAACTTGTGGGCCGGCTTGCGGACCACCATGGCGGAGAAGAGCTGGCCGCCGAGCCACGCGCCGCCGCCGGGGCTGACGGACTGCTCGATGATGGCGATGTTGATGTCGGGGTTCTTGCTGAGCTCGTAGGCGCAGGAGAGGCCGGCGGATCCGGCGCCGACGACGACCACGTCGGTGTCGGCGTAGGTTATCATGTCCGTCATGTAGCGGCGCGTCATCTCACGCGCGACGATGGATTCCTTGATGGGCTGGAATTTGAAGTCGTCGAGGTTGTAGGGGGTGGAGGCCATGGCGACGGCGAGGTTCTTGGGGGTGGATTTGATGGGCTGGGCGGCGCGTGTGGGCACGACGGCGGCGCCGTGGAAGGTGGACTTGTTGTCGAAGAAGGAGGTCTTGGTGAGGGAGGATCTGAGGGTTGTAGCCATGGCTGCCATTGTTGCAGACTGGTTTTCTTTTCGTTTCTTTTGTTTTCCGGTGGGTGGGGTGGTTGTGATCGGAGGAGAGTGGTGTGAGTGGTGATGAATTAAAGAAGAGTATATATAACAGATAAAGGTGAAAAATATCTGAAAGAAAAAGATCTGAAGATAGAATTTGAATGATCCATAATAGATCTGGTTCAGTAGTTGTGGAATCACTCATGGCTAATGCTTGGTGACAAAAATCTATGACGTGGCAACAATAATTGTCATCTCTCAGGCTAATATTTGATTCTGTTTTTTATTTTGGGTTACTTTATTTAATTATTTGTTTCCTAATTTGGGATTTTGTACTTTCTCATGAATTTTGTTTTCTTTAAACATTATTTTTTTAACAAATTAGATTTTTTTTTTAATTTTAATTCGTTACTCGATTGATCCAGCTAGATTTAGCACGACCCAAAAAGGCAAGGTCCAATAGAATTGGCCCATGTCCAAACGAGAGATATGGCCACAAGAGATTCGGACTCATTTGCACACTTCATTGGACTTTGATAAGTGACTCAGAACATTGAGATATGGTAAGCTCACAGGTATAAGCCCACAAGAGAATAAAATATATTATCAATAGAGGAAGAGTTAGGAGACTCCGACGAGTTGGAGATCGAAGACCTCTTCGACGAGCTAGGAAACCTCCGATGAGATGAAGACTTGAGATCTATTCGACGAGCTAGGAGACCTCCGACTAGCTAGAGGTAGTTGACAAGTGAACAGTGATGAGCTGAAATTAGCAACTGTTCTATTCTAACTTAGACGTCTGATTGACAACGTCGGGAGCACCTCTCCCAACCCCTTTTGGAGGTCAACAATAAATGGGCCCAAAGTGGAATTTGCTCGACGATTCGTGATTCCTTCAAGCGGTCGGGCCGAGCTGCATCGTCGATATACGTATAATAATAAGTATATCGACTCTTTATAAATGGGCCCAACGTGGAATTTATAAGCGAATATAATAATTAATTTTATAAAGTCCTTTATTGGAGATGACTCTTTTCTTTTAGAGTTGTTTGTTCGAGTTTCTAAATAAAATTTAAGAATGAAATTTAGAGACTATTTTTTAAGACACCAGTGATGGTTAATGGTGATGCTAAAGTTAGATCACCTTAGAGAGTTGAATTATGATGAGTTGGAAGAGCATAGTGGATCACTAGCTCACGAGCTTGATGACCTTGAGATACCTGCGATCATAGAACACGTAAGCTAAGCCGGGGGTTGATCCGGCGGAAACCCCTCCGACGCTCAAGTCAGACGTGCTGATCATAGAAATAGTCCAGAGAATACAGTTAATAGTATTGCTCAGTTAATAGGACGTACCTTAAGGAATGAGTTCCAATGATTATTTATAGCTTAGTGAAGATTGTCGGGCCCAAACCTTACTTGAAGGTGATTGGGGCTCGGTAGTAGTGGTTTTCAATATTGGGCTCGTGGCCTAGTAGATAAAGAGATTGTAGTCTTATTGGATTGGTCCAAATAGGCATATCAGATAATAATTCGAAAGCTGGCCCAATGGTGTCTTTTTTGGTTATAAATTAAAATAAATTTGTGGAAGGGGATCACTATTTCAAATACTGAATTTTGCTTCGTTGAATACCAAAAAAATAAAAAATAAATAATTAATTGTAAATTACTTTAATGCCCTTAATGAAAATTAAAACCAAAAAAAAATTACAAACACTATTTTTCTTTCTTAAATACCAAATAATCAAAAACCCTAAAAAAACATTTCCCTCCTCACTCACAAACCCCTCACCTCCTCCACCTCCTTCTTCTCCCTCCCAAAAACCCTCCTAAAAAACCTCAAAACAAAAGAAATCAAAACCTTACACAACTTGCAAAATGACGTCAAATGACAATAGAATGGTAGTTTACGAGCAAGGAGAACCCATTAAGGTATGTATTCATGTATTTTTTGAGCTAAAACATCGATTTTGATCGTTTTTTTCTTTTTAAACTCGTCATCCATTTTCGACACATACAGGTCGAAAATCTCCCTAATTTTCGACATGTATGTGTTGCAACTCGATGACATTTAATATTGTATTGAGTTTCGACACTTAAGTGTCGAAAAATGTAGTCATTTTCGGCATCTAAGTGTCGAATTTTGTTCATATTGCAAATTTACTTGTCTTATATTTTCGACACTTTTGTGTAGATCGATTGCACCCATTCATTTACCACGTCAGAAAAATTCCCAACAAAAGAAGCTTTATTGGCATGGGTTCGTGAAGTATGTAAAAGAATTGGAATGGTGATAATGATTGCGGGTTCGAGTGACGGGGATAGAGGACGTAGGACACCGTATGTGATTGTTCGTTGTGAGCGTGGGGGCCATTATGTTGGCAAGAAGGTACCAGGTGAAGATGATCAAAGACCAGGAAAAAGGAGCACCGGTTCAAAGAAATACAATTGTCCGTTTAAATTGAAGGGGTTAAAAGAATCCAAGGATAATGAAAAGGCTGAGTGGAAATTGGATGTTTATAGTGGTATTCACAACCACAACTTATTCGAAAACTTGCACGGACACTCTTATGCTGGAAGATTATCAAAGGAGGATGTTTCCTTTGTTCACACTATGAAGAAAGCAATGGTGAAACCAAGGGCAATTCTAAGAGCATTGAAGCAAAAGGACCCGTCTAATGTAACTGGTATGAAGACAGTTTACAATACTATCTCTAAGTTAAATTTCAGTGAATTGGATGGGAGATCTCAATTGCAATCATTGTTCATCAAGTTGAAAGAAGATGAATACCTCTCGTACCATAGATCGAACGAGTTGAATGCGATTACCGACTTGTTTTGGATCCACCCGAAATGCATTAAGTTGGCACAGTCGTATCCGTACGTATTCGTCATCGATTGCACGTACAAGACCAATCGTTACGGACTCCCATTTCTTGAGATTGTGGGTTTTACTTGTACCAACAAGACGTTCTCAATTGCCTTTGCATACTTGGATCACGAAAAGACGGAAAATTTTGAATGGGCGTTGCGTAGTTTGAAGGAGGCCATGACCAGTTGTCCTCGGGCTAATTGCATTGTAACAGATCGAGATTTGGGTTTAATGAAAGCAGTGGCCAATGTGTATCCATCGAGTCATCACTTGCTGTGTCGGTGGCATGTGAACAAGAATATAGTGACCAATTGTAAGAAATTGTTCTCAAAGGACATCACCAAATGGAAGCAATTTCAGTCGAGTTTTTCTGCTCTTATTGAAAGAAATACCATAGAGGAGTTCAATGAGGATTGGGAGGATTTGAAAAGAACATTTATCGGTTATCTCCCGGCTATAGAATATGTAGCTAATTCATGGTTGGATCCGTACAAGGAGAGACTTGTATCGGTGTGGACAAATAAGTGTACTCATTTTGGAACGTACACTTCTAATAGGGTGGAGGGGGCACATGGACGAATGAACGGCGCCGGCTCCCAACCTTTCAAAGTTCCTGTGTGATTTCGAATTCGAAATTCTGAGCCGCGCTCCAAGCGATTTGGCCCTCCGTTCACAATATGATAAGCAATGTGCTTATCAAATTTTGTGTACAATTCCGGTATCTCGGGACCTCGGACCGGTTCGTTGCTCGAATCACCAACTTCTACAGTCGAAGGTAGAGCCGGCACCGGATTCTTTGACGAAGAACCCTCTCCAGACTTCTTCTTGGTCGTGGTCTTTTTCTTGGTCGTGACTGCTATGCCCTTGCCTCTATCGGATAATTCCTTCCTCTTCTTACGGCTCGAGACAGTCGGAGGTATACGAGGTTCACGTGATTCTTCCACTGCAAAATAACACACAAATAAAAATTACTATACATAATATAAACACAAGCAAATAAAAATAGGACAGAAAACAAATTACACAAACACAAAAATTCACAGTTCAAATTCGACAGGTAGCTGTCGAAAATTCATGGGAATTCGACAGCT